GGGAAAAAGTGACGCGGGGGGTTGTTGTAATGTGTGTATAGATAGTGAGTAATTGAACTGCAGTCACAGGGTATTGTTGAAGTTAACGTTCGTTCGTTACAGTGTTGTTTAGCGCGATTGTTGAAGTTGAGTGTATCGGTAAAGTTGTATTCGGAAAGAATAAACCAGTTTTATCAAGAAAGCACTTGTGTCGCTTAAGTTTTGTCGGAACAAAGTTACGGAAAAATCAATTAACAAACGGAGACGTAACAATATCACCCACCAAATCTAGTATAGTTCAACAAGCCCTAGAAAATTGTGACGTAGTCGTCACATCCAATTTGTGTAAGATCCTAGCTTGGGCCAATAATGAAATAAGCCTCCATATAAAAGAGTCGCAGGTACTTTAATTTTAAGGCTATAAAATGTGAATAATCACAAACACTAGTGTCATCTGTTCTTTGATCGTTTGCTACAATCAGATTTTATAATTCAAAACATCTTGTACATTATATAGGTATATAAAGGAATTATATATTATATTCCAACTTTAAAATAATACCGCCCTTCACATTGCACACCCAAACCATTTCGGTGATTTGACCTACAAAATAAGATAAAACAGACAAATAACAGAGACCAACGAAGGAAATAGCGTTCCACGTTCAGCCCAGACCTTATGGTAAACCTGGGAGGGTCAGGTTCACCCTAGACCTATTGCTTCCCCCGGCGTTTGTTTACTTGCTATTGTAGAATATGTTTCTAATTACGACATGAGAATCACAGGTATCCTATTGCATGTACCCTGACCCGTTTCAAGGTCATGTCCATGTATGGTCATCAAGAAAATATTCAATATAAATAACACACTTTCTCTTTGTTCGTTATTACGCAAAAGTCACACACATCGCGAACAGTTCCAGTTGTGTTTCATATATTTTTCATGAATGTAATTACTGCGACAGCGTTGTAAATACAATACCCTTTTCAATGCTCTCTGAGTTAAATAAACTAAGGATGGATATAGTCTTAGTCTATTTCCAATGTATGTATTGATTGGTGAGAGTTGCTTAGGGTTAATTTAATCATGTATGCAAAAGCGGTCTAATTCACAAAATAATTCATTTTATGTCATTTTTTTTGCAAAGTAATTTAGCGAATTACGTATGAGTCTGTTTAGCAGTATTTGCATATTTGTGTAAAAATGCTAATGATGTGGATCTGGTACTCGATAGGCTGTTGTGAGTAATGCATTTTATATTATTTGTAGTTTCTTACGTGTGTCTGTTTTGCGTTAAGCCAAAGAATTTAGCTGATTTTTTCGTATGGAGGAGTGTACCATTCATGTGAAGTTAAGGCATTTTTTTTATTGAGTTTTCTTATTTTTGCAAAACTACCATTTGATTTTCAGGGACATTTATTTTTATGCGGTAATTTTGACAGAATCCCACTATTGTATTCAATTGTGGTTGTATATTTGTGGCAGGATTGCTGGGATAATTGTAAAATCGTCTGCGAATTGTGATGCGTATGGGTTATTGACATACACGATGAATAGGACAGGACTAACCACTCCTCCTTGATGGACACTTGACTCAGGAGTGAAATATTACGTCTACTGAAACTCATTTATACTGTTATAGCCATATAAAACGGAGAAATAAATTTGAACGTTATTGACATACATGATGAATAGGACAGGACTAACCACTCCTCTTTGATGGACACCTGACTCGGGAGTGAAATATTACGTCTACTGAAACTCATTTATACTGTTATAGCCATATAAAACGGAGAAATAAATTCGAAACCCAATTAACCCTATTGTTGACGTGAATAACGAACGTACAATACAGTCGTGACACGAGTAGTTATAAAAGTATTTAATCATAACATCGACCAAACTCGACCTTTGTTCTGTTCGTTGTCGTTACTTCATCTTCAAGGGAATTAAGACCTAAATTTCAATGTTTCGGAAATCTTTTTTCCACCAGGCACCTTTCACTGACTTGCTTTTCCTTTTCTTTTCTTTTTTCCGCTTTGATGCACCGCTATGTTCTTCATGTTAATTGCTCTCCGTCTCTCTCTTTCTCTCTCATTTTATTCTTGCATACGCGTGAACAGTAATAAAAGCCAGTGGGTTATGTGAAATACATTTCAAAATTTGAAATCGCGATTTTAAAAAAAAATTATGTATTTTAATTGGATATATAGAAATAAAGCCTAACAACATCACTTACGTACGCTCTACCAAAGTCTTATCAAGAGCTAGATACGACTGGAAAGATACAAAACATCTGTTTAAAATTGGCCACGGGATGTGTTTCAGCAACCTATCCCTCTGTCCCTATTAAAGTCCCATTACATCTCACAAGCCTTAGCAGCATTACACAACATCAACAGTGTTTACAAGCAAAGTTCTTCACTAGGAACTTGGAGTCTAAAGAACATGCTTTCCGTCATGAAGTCATTAACCATTTTAATTGGGGCATTCTAGACCCACAACTATCTCACTGATACAAACATAGCAAGGGATTACCTATATGGCACATCAGAAGAAAGTCATTAGTATATAGGTGGTATACACCACGACTGAGATAATTGGGATATTCCATCTCCAAAACTATCCTACAGGTACAAACAAAGCAAGAGTTTGTCTAAAAGGCAATTCAGGAAAAAGTCACTAGTATATATGTGTGATATGCCATAACTGGGATAATTCGACATCACCATATCTCAGAGTTCCCTATATCGAATAAACATCTGATGCCACTGGGATCTTTGGAAATCAGCCTAGACTGAAAATATAGAGTGTGAAAGTCAGCACCTGTTTAAAGCCTATGGTGGACAATCACCTGTTATAATGGAAACAGATGATTCCTACCCCAAAGTGAGAGAGTTGGTTAGGCATTCATTACTTCACTGAGGGAGTTGTTTAGGCATTCATTCCCTCAGTGGGGAGATGGCTAGGCATTCATTGTCTTAGTGAGGGAGTTGGTTAGGCATTAAGTGCCTTAGTGGGGGAGTTGGTTAGGCATTCAGTGCCTAGTGGAGGGAGTTGGTTAGGCATTGATTGCATCAGTGAGGGAGATTGTTAGGCATTCATTGCCTCAGTGAGGGAGATTGTTAGGCATTTATTGCCTCATTGAGCAACAAAATTCTCTTTCCCTCTTTTGGAGCATTCAGGCTTCCCACAAACAGCATAATGATGGCGCTGGAAACCATAAAGCCTCTGGATTACTGAATAGATTGGCCTTCAATGCAAAAAGAACTCGTTAAGATAAATATAATCAATTAATTGTTATTGCTTTAACTAATTGTAAAGGAAAACAATAACAAATATGTAATATATTGTTTACTTGCTATTTTGGCTTGTTAAAGAACGGCTTTAATACTCATCTCTGTAAACTTTCATTATGTACACTAGGAAAAGAAGATTGGCTGTATACAAAATACAAAAGTACTCATTACGATAAAGGCGATCAAATAATTGTTAAGAATTAGTATTTAGTTTTACAGCCGGTATGTCTGCGGACTTACAACGTTAAAATCCGGGTTTCGATACCCGTGGTGGGCAGAGCACAGATAGCCCATTGTGTAACTTTGTGCTTAATTACAAACAAACAAATTCTCGGTTTCTCGTATTTCTTTTATGGATATATTATTTGGATTTTATTTATCTTTATGATAATACTTGTATATTTCATTTTAACTGACCCGTTCTAAGTCTAAGATAAAGAGCTATGTGTATTATGTTTATACATCTGATGTCGTATCTTCAAATCGTCAAGTCGATCTTTCAATTCATTCTCGATAACAAAATATTTGATCCCGTATTACTTGCAGGTTATCTGGTAGCTACAGGTGGATTATATATTGTTAAACAAACCTACCAAAACTTTATGTACAGAAGGACTAGTATGCATAGGCAAAACTAACACAGGGTAAAGAGTAAAAGGATTGGTCTACATAGACAAAACAACCACAGGGTTAAGGATAAAAGGACTGGTCTTCCTATACAAAACTACCACAGGGTTAAAAATAGAAGGACTAGTATGCATAGGCAAAACTACTACAGGGTTAAAAGTAAAAGGATTGGTCTGCAAAGACAAAACTACCCCAGTGTTAAAGATAGAAGGACTGGTCTTCATATACAAAACTATAGCATGGTTCAGGACAGAAGGACTGAACTGCACAGATAAAATTATCACTGGGATAAGGATTGGTTTGTAGAAGAACTACTCTATGAGAATATGTGCATAAATATTCAAGTTAATTGTCGCTTAGTAACCAGAGTTAATAGCGATTTCAGAAAGGACACCAATATTACTGTCGCCAGTCCGTTGAGCCTGTATGATGTGCTGGTATTGAGGAATGATACAATAATGGCGATTTTTATACTTTATTGACTAAAGTTACACAACTATTTCAATCGTAAATAAGTTTAGACTGCAGTTCCGATTATCTTCTTCGCTTCTTCAACCAGCTTGTTCCAGAGATCTCCAAGGTCATCCTTGTAAAGTCGGAAGAACTCCAATGCTTCAATGCTGCACTTTGACAAAAGGAACAGAGGATATTTTGAAGAAAGAAGACCAAACGATTACGGTAACTGGCGCCACAATTGTAAGTGAATCACACACAGAATACTAGTGCGATAGTAATAGAGAAGATAGTTCGGCTTTTCCACTGATATTCTAAGGTAATTGAATAGGCCTAAGTGGACTTTTGGCAAGATGAAAAGAACTACATATATAGTATTTATGATAGCCTGTAATATCTATAGAGTGAAGACTTTGTTGTACGAACCTTTAACTTCTTCCGAATATATATATATACTATTTGACAAAACAACAAATCACAATTAACTTCCTTGTATAGAACAATCATAGGATCGTATTAATAATCACCGAATTTCATTAGCATCGTTAGAATGAATTTTAAGTCGTCAGCTGACTTGTATGAACCAGTTAAAATTAGTAATAGTAAATCGTGTTATCCAGTAACTTCAAATGACACAATAATGGCGATTTTTATACTTTATTGACTAGAGTTACACAACTATTTCAATAGTAGATAAGTTTAAACTCCAGTTCCGATGATCTTCTTCGCTTCTTCAACCAGCTTGTTCCAGAGATCTCCAAGGTCATCCTTGTAAGGTCGGAAGAACTCCAATGCTTCACGAGCGACTTCGGCGCTGATGTCCTTAGCGTGAGTGATGAACTATGAAGTGGAAACAATGTTAACTTCAGAATGGTTTCACTTACCTTAATATAGAATTATGAATATACATGGCATATTAGTAAATCTCTGCGCCTCATAAGTTGCATACAAATTAAAGAACAAATCTATTGAAGATATGTTTGAACCAACCTCCAAAGCGATCAGTTTGACCTTGGCCAGTTTGTCCTTGGCGTTTTCGATACCGGCATCCCAGATGGTCTTCACCCATTCAGCGAACTTCCAGAATTTTTCCGTAATTCCAATTCCGAGGTTCTTAAAGAAATCTTTCACCTTTTCCCACAAGTCCTTCAGGGAGTAAGCACTGCGACCGACACCGAGGATCTTGTTTACCAAGTCCTTAAGAGCTTCAAGTCCTCGTTCTTTGATGGTCTGGATCAGGGTTTGGGCGAGCTGCCAAAGTTATCGAACCAAGTAATCACTGTTTATCCAAGATTATCACTAAAGCAGTAGATGGAAATAGATCTAAATAAACGAGTTATTTTTCTGTCGTTTTTATTGAAACGTTAAAATTTTTATTACAGGGGCATAATTTGTTATGGGGAAGGGAGCAGTTGTTCCCCCTCCAATCTACTTTGAAGGATATAATGTAATCAAAATAATCCCATATAAAACCATCGAAGTTTTCTTCGTAACGAATAAAAGACTAAACTACAGCAAATGTTATATATGCTGACACAATTTTGCCTCTCTCCTGAAATCCGTGCTTTTGGAAAATACTTTTTTATATATATATAAAGTTTAAATCTCAACTGTCTTACATGTATTATCCCAAACAAGTAAGCAACATAGTAACCTTATTATACTATCTAAATATTTGGCACCTTTTCATAAGTTCATTAATAAAGATAACCTCCTACCTCACTGACAGTTCCTAGTTTCTCCTTAATGTAGTCTACGATCTGCTGGATATTCAACTTCTCCATGATCTGCATGAAACAGTTAACATTTAATCACTTTTCACTCATCATTATTTTCACATGTTAAATATTCACACATAAACTGTAAAATATCGTGTGAAATATATTATATTAATATTTTTAAAAACGTAAAATATAGTTTACTATTTTCAACATTTCATAAATGTGTTTGGTTATATTTTTCTCCTTCCGAAAATTAAATGTACTTAGTACACACCATGTTCTTGATCTTTTCAATGATGCTCCTGATGTCAAGACCACCCACTAGGTTACCCAGGATGTCCAGCAGACTACGCTTGCCAATACCCAGCTTCTCTAGAAGTCCAGTTACCCAGTCCTTTAGTCGATCCTTTAGCTTCAGTAGAAGTTCCAGGGCTTTGCCACCAGCGTCCACGCCAAGATCTTTAAGTTGTCCAGCGATATCCTTAGCCTTGTTGAAAATTGTTGTATTTAATATAATAAAAAACTTATATTTAAGACATGGTTATCTTTTGTAGTTTCTTCTGTTCTGCACAGTAAATTTACAAGTCCATAGCTGGTATAAAAATATATATGTATACAGGCTGTAACGTTCAAATTGAGACTAATAAACGTTATTGGCTTTATTAATTACCATTGTTAGTTGTTATTTGTACTAGTTACTATTATTGATAAATTTTGCTTGTATGATATTTTCGAAAAGCTATATTTCTCAGGAAACAAGCATGCATGATATTTTTACCTTATCCAACAAGTTCTGAGCGACCTCTTTGCCCTGGTCAATAGAATCCTTTATTTTATTCAGGACATTGTCCAGAGCTTCTTTCAGAGTCTTGCCGAGTTCAGTCTTGATGTCGTCTTCAATTCTGAATAAAATGATGAACAGTTATCAGATGCTTAGACCCTACAACAAATAGTTCACACACACGTTATCGTCTTTACATTTCCATGGGAATATTCATTTACTGAAATTTTTGGAATTCTTTATTCACACTTACAAAAAATAAAATGTCTAAGAGTTTCAACAGATGTTTTTTTTATTTCTTAGTATTTAATAAGTTGTTGACTTTCCTGATTAAACAGATTCAGAAATGCATATTATGCGAGAAAATATTATACTAAACAAAGTAACTTCCTGCACAAGAAAGAAACTCCACCTACTCGTCAGATGCCAAACCAAGATCATAACCAGCTACGTCCCGGAGTGGACCAGCCTTTTCCATCCCAAGCATGAAGTCCATGACTGCCTGGTCAGCAGCATGGTCAAGAACTGGAAGTGAAGAAGACAGTGATACCAAAGAAATATTACTTGTTTTAATTCTTTAAACAGCAAGATTTCTCACTCAAACCTCAATAATGCAGCTTCAATCTCATTATGTTCTTTGTACGTTCCTCTAAGAGAGAAATTCGGAAATGCCATTGCTATTTTCTTTTATCAGTGACTAAACTAGATCACGTGGTTATAAAATAAATTCCTTTATTTGTTGTTTTGTTTTTAGTATAAAGCTACACAATGGGCTATCTGCACGCTATCAACCACCCGAACCCACTGGTGGACAAAACTCCTATACTTACTATCTAAATTAATATTGTGATTCACATACATTAGAATATATGTATCCTAATATTATTGTTGAGGTTTTGGTCAAGAACCTAATACGTACCATTGTAGAAACTTGCCGAGGCAAGACCAATGAAGAGGAACGCCAAAAGGAACTTCATTCTGTGAAAAACAAAAATGTTCCAAATTACCAGAAGATTTAAAATACAACTTCACATATTTGTAATTAAATACTGCTAAACTGTTGTTGTTGTTATTTTACCTAACCATGAACGAATCTGCAACACAACGAAGAAGTCGGACAAATTAACTGAAATATAGGTTCACTTTTTTGTATGTTTTTAATTTAATCTATATAAATGTTTACTACTAAAGAACACTTATTTGAATATCAAAATTGTACAATGAATGACAAATAAAATCATAAAAATACATTATTAGCTATTTTCTATCAAAGGTTGAAAAGTATTTGGGATGACAACTAAGAACAAGGTGTATTCTGAACCAAGAATGTTAATTACGAAGTTTTATTTTCCTAATTAACATCTACAATTCAGTGAATAAAAGAGAGAGTCCATAAATTACGTAGACACCTAAACCCTCCTGGTTTCGCTAATCCCTCTGCAGTAGACTAATTTCGCCGAATTCACGTTATTTCTTGGGAGAGCAAACCAAAGAAGTACATTTGGAGAAACTAGTGTACTGGAGAAGGAATAACGAAACAAGGAATAGATTAAACCATTACGTTATTCATGGGTTCTTTCCTATCTTCACTAAAGTTACATATTTTGATAAGGAAAAAAAGGCCACAATTAATTCACCAGCTAGTCCGCTGAAAAATTATGAATAATTAAATATGATAAGGTAATCACGTTTTATCCAAATACCTAAACCATTTTAGGTTGTTAATGATGAGTAAAGAACGTTATATCCAAGAAGAACGTTGATATATATATAATAAATATTTTCTGTTCTCATCATATTTAGTTCTGTTGCTTCTTAACAATAAAAGTGATCACATCTATCAGTTTTGTACATAAGCACAAACACTTTAGTGTAAAAATAATTTTGTAAACGTGAATCGGTTAAACTCATATGTATTTATATTATTGTGCTGTAGAAGAACATGGTGCATAAGTTGTTTAAAAATCCGAAGGGACACATACAGTTCCCATGGGTCATTTTATGGTTAAATTTTTTAAACGTAGTTGAATAGTTAGACTTTATTGTTAACAAATATACAAACTAGCATACAGATAGAAAAAAGCTAAAACTATAAGTACTTTAGACTTTTATATGTATAGAAAAATATAATATCGGACTGTTTTCTTACCTCTCCAGCTAGTGTGTAACAGGAACTATAGAAATTCAATTCTGGCATCCATTTATAGCAGAAATACGACAGGATGTCCACCTGAGGTTTCCCATCGCTGGCCTTCAGATAACACTAAACACCTCTGTTCCTCCCACAACATGCACAAAAAATGGTGATAATCTCTAGATTGCAACAAAAAATACGTGGCTTAAGATGTTTCGCAACTGACACTGTGTGGCACACTTTATGTTATTTACGGAGACATATATTCCATGAGGTTTATCTACGCCTGTGACTCCAGGTGAGTAGGTACAAAGACAAACGGATATATATCGATAAAAAGTTTGAAGATGTGGCAAAGATCACGCAAATAATATATTGTTTTAAAGATATACAATGAAACCTTTCTTAAATTAAAAAATATATATTTCCTTCACTTTGAAAGTTAAATAGCTAAATATATTTTTAGTAGTGACTACCTCTACTTGTTTCATTTATTATATTTTGAACTTTCATAGTGCTTTGATGAGCTTCACAAATAATTGATTGTGTGTAAAGATAACAAACCACTACTCAGATTTTCTTGTGTAACAAATAAGTTAAAATAAATAAAAGACAGCCCTTGTGACGTTTGTTTCCTTTAGTTAAATTCCGAGCGTGACCTAGTGGGTAGCTGCAACACTGTGAATCTGGGGGTGCATTGCGTTCCGCCTAAATTTAAATCGCGCTTTGGGGCCGTCCGTGCGCTAAAAGGGTGACGGTCCCAGTATTCGGTCAGGTAATAGTAGCTTGTTTGTTTGTAATTAAGCACAAAGCTACACAATGGGCTATCTGTGCTCTGTCCACCACGGGTATAGAAACCCGATTTCTAGCGTTGTAAGTCCGCAGACATTCCGCTGTGCCACTGGGGGGGGGGGGCAGTAATAGTAGCCCAAGATGTTGTTGACTAACTATTTTCCAACAAATCCATCAGTTCCAACTTAAGGACAGTTAGCGTGGATAGGTAGACCTTGAATAGCTTTAAAGGAATATCTTAAAATTTGATTGTTGTTAAGAACAAAGATACAGAATGGGTGCTATTCCCTCTACGGGTATCAGAACCCATTTTTAGTGTCCTGCAGACTTACCGCTGAGCCACTGGGGTCATATCCAAATGAAAACAAATCTTTGCCCAGGAACACGTGATGAATTAGAACTGATATCCTAATTAATTTTTCAGTGAAGAACTTCATGAGACGCCACCGAATAAAAATGCACAGTTCTTAGATATCAAGATCTGTTTAATAGTTTAGTGACTGATCTACTGGTCGGATTCTCTAAACGCAAATGTTTTCGCTAGCGTATTTAATCCCGACTTCATACTTCATGTAAAATATTTAAAGAGCCCCCCCTCCCCCCCGCCAGTGCACAGTGATATGTTTGTGGAATTACAACACTAGAAACCGGGTCTCGATACCCGTTGTGGGCAGACCACGGATAGCACATTGTGTAGCTTTGTGCTTCATTACAAACAAATAAAGCAAAACTATTTAATGCATACAGTCCAGAGACATTAAATAGTGCAAGAGTTCGTGTGCTACTTTCTATATTTATGTAAAAAAGATGAAGTTATTATGAACTTAACGTTTACTTCTTATCAGTTTACATTACATCTTAACCTAGATAGTTTAATCGTTATCTAAATGAGGATATAAACTGAATTTAATTGAATCACAACTGTATACTATCCAGATCATATTACCATTACATTTTCTTTTCCCTTGTGATTTCTTATCTTTTATTCCCTTTCAAGAGAGGATCGTAAAAAAAAATGAAGCAAGAAAAATTTAACACTAAAGGAAATTACAACTGGTAAAAAAAGAAGAAATGTATTGTAAACTTCCATAACAATATTTCTTATAAATTTTATTACGTCAAGCGCACATCTCACTCTAAGACCCAGATTCTTAGACTTGGATAAAAAAGTAACTGGTTATAATTTTGCTGTTATGTTCATGTATAATTTCTGTGGTATTGTTGAAGGTAGGGCTTATAAGCTAAATTTCCCCTTGAAACTGGCAAATAAATCCTTAAATGTGTTGTTCTTCTACATGTAAAATGTTCATCTGTTTCTATTTCAAGGTTTCATTTCATACTGGATTAATTACATAGTTCAAGGTATTAAGCAATTCAAAAATAACTATGCCATGCTAATTTGGCCACTTCTTTTTGCTGTAAGTACACGGAGTCAGAGAAATGATTGAATTTGTACAGTCTGCTATGCCACGAGAAAAGCAAACATGATTTATATATAACCTCTGAAGACCATGCTTTAATCAACTTCTACTTTATAAACGTGGAGTACTTTCTTACATGCATGTCTGCAATAAAAACTTACTCTAGAGTAATTACATTTAAAAGAAGTGGTGATGCAAGTTATCACATATTTAGAGAAGCTTAGAGGCAGATGTAAGCTGCAAAAGGTGCTTTCTTTTGAATAAGCAACACTAAGGTGTAATATGTTCCTACCTTTTATGTATCCATAAGTAAGTGTATGCCAGTCTGGTTAAAAACACGACAGTACTACGTAAAACATACGTATATATATATATATATATAATTGATTATAAAACGTTAGTTAAAACTTACGTCAACCACAGAAGTGATTTACAAGTACAGTAAAAGTGCTCGGTTTATATATTTCTATTCATTTACATTTTATCTATTCTAATCTAATCTTTGTTTTATCTAATATGATCGTGTTACAAATTGTATGACACGTATTATACCTGATGTTATTTTCACATTTATTAAGAGACAGTACAAAGAAAAAACTACCTGACGTTAATGAGTAATACCGCAATAATTTTGTTATCTACCATCATTAACAATTCTTAATAAAAGTCATATGGTATAAAGGTTTTCAATGTAACATCGTTATTTGTTTCTAAGCAAACCATATATCTAAAATGCTTTGCTACAATTTTCTTAACGTTTCTCTGTACATTTAAGTTCCTTTGTCCAAACCGTTTCTCCTCCAAGTTAATAATTCTGAAGTATCTACTGTTTTTTCTATTACCTGAAAATATTTCTCGCAGAAACATATAATAACTGATGTTTACTTAAAAAGAAGAAAACCTGAAGCCGTATCTTAGAAATTG